GGTGGTATCTAAACCACGTAGAGAAAACCAAGCAACTCTTAGATGTGTTGTTCCCTTTGAGAATGCGTAGCAGGGAACAGTGGTTTGTCAGGTAGGATCCTAGACTTCAACACAGAAGGTTTAGACTGAAATGCTGTCATAGCCAGACTTCAAATGTCTTTAAGGCAAAACAGCTGTGCCTCAGTTACTTCTCTGCGAACAGAGATAATTATTCCCTGCTGTACAGAACATATAATAATAACATCCATCATTGATTTTATACACATTAATAATAAGTACAACAATGTAGGCACTAAAATAGACTAGACTAATTTATTTTTGTTGAAGGTTTAATTGCACAGCACTGGCAACACCTGAGATCGTATTTGAGAAGCAGCATAACTGCAGCACTCTTGAGGATGAAGTATGTTTTCCTGTGTAGATAGAGACATGAGAGTGGGAAACAGAAGTTAAAAGAAGGGGAAACCACCTTGTATAGAAAAGAAAGAGAAGAAAGGAAAATAAAAGTGAGGTTGGAAACAGGAGATGAAGTGCTGTATTTTCTTGGCTGCAGGGCACAATGCAAGTATTTTAACATACAAATACATCCATTTTATGTATCAAATTTCATACTGTTGCATAGATCTCACAGCCACTTTCTGAATTTGTATGAAATAAGGCTGCCTAACTGATATCATGAGAGAATTTTCATTTTATTGGACAAAATACAGTAAGCAGCTGTACACATTGTCTGCTGCTGGACTATGGACACCTGGCCCAAGACATGGGTGTGCCTGCTGCTGGGAAGCACTGAAAGGCCAAGTCAGGGCGAGACCAAGGCTGCTCAGGCACACAGCAGTGAGTGTAACATGAAGGTTTTTCTGAAATGAACAGCTAAGGAAAATGCTGTAGCTCCCTGTAGCTAGTATTTTCAAACTCTTAATTGTTCTTTCATCTTTCTGCATCAGTAAGAGCAGCACACTGCAGGGATCACCAAGGAATGCATGGATTTACTGGGGCAACCGTGGGTAGTGATGGCCATGAAGATGATCACAGGGCTGGAGCATCTCTGCTGTGAAGACAGGCTGAGAGAATCGGAGTGTTCAAGCTTGGAGACGAGAAGGCTCCGGGAAGGCCTTGTACCTAAAGGTACCTAAAGGACAAGAGAGCTGGAGAGGGACTTTTTACAAGGGCATGTAGTGATAGGACAAGGAGAAACGGCTTCAAACTGACAGAAGGCAGATTGACATTAGATATTAGTAAGAAATTGTTTCCTGTGAGTGTGGTGAGGCACTGGCCCAGGTTGCCCAGAGAAGTTGTGGATGGCCCATTGTCACTGAAATTTGAGAATAAAACTCCTTAACACCAATGCAGTATTAGGAAGCATTAATAATTAATAATAATTAAGGCATTAGCCTATTACAGCACAGATGTACAGGGGATAACTCAGCCTAAGGCACACAACTGGCTCAAGATGGTACATATTTATTAGCCAGGGATATACATATTCATCAAAATATGTGTTTCTGAACAGTTTGTTACTTTAGGAGGCCACAGAGCCCCCCGCTGGATTGGGCCAACTTGAGTTGTTACTGAGCTCTCACCCTTCATGACATTTCATTAACTGCCACCTCATCATAATTTGCAACACCATCCCTGAGGGTGTTCAAGGCCAGGCTGGATGGGGCTCTGAGAAACCTGGTCTAGTGGAAGCTGTCCCTGCCCATGCTAGGGGAACTGGAACTAGATGATTTTTAAGGTCTTTTCCAACCCACATTATTCTATGATACTACAATATTTCACTGTACCTCAGTAAATTTTGCTGAAAAGAGAGTGAGAAAATCATTGGAACTTCTTTCCAATGTCTAACCTAAACCTCCCCTGGCACAGCTTAAGGCTGTGCCCTCTAGTCCTAGTGCTGGTTGCCTGGGAGAAGAGACCGACCCTCACCTGGCTACAACCTCCTGTCAGGGAGTGATAGAGTGATGAGGTCACCCCTGAACCTCCTTTTCTCCAGGCTGAACAGCCCCAGCTTCCCCAGCTGCTCCTTATAGGTCTTGTGCTCCAGTGCCTTCACCAGCCTCCCCCACCAGTGCCCTTCTCTGGACACTCTCCAGCACCTCAGTGTCCTTCCTAAACTGAGGAACCCAGAACTGGACCCAGCCCTCGAGGTGCGGCCTCACCAGTATCTTGTCCAAGGGGTGAATCCCTTCCCTGGCCCCCTTCTCCCCGCGGATCCCATCACCGGCCCGTGTGCCCGTGGGCGGCCCCGCGTGTCCCGCTAAATGCCCGCGGTGCGGGGGCCGCTCCGGCCGCCCCTCCCGGCCTGACATGGCGCCCCCTCCCGCTCCCGGCGCACGTGCCGAGCCCCGCCCCGCGGGCGCGCGGGCCCGGCTGGGCGGGACGGCGGGACGGGACCGACGGGAGCAGGATCGGGAACGGGACCGGGACCGCAGGGGGCCTCCCTGCGCTCCGCGGGCTGGTGCTCCTTCTCCGGCCGCCGCCAGCCCTCGAGTGAGCCGCCGGGCAGTCCTCGCACGTGGGGCAGCTCGGGCGGCGGGGAGGCGGCCCGAGGTGAGCGCTGCCCTGAGGAGGAAGGCGCGCCGGAGGCGGTCAGAGGTGGGTGCTGCCCTGAGGGGGGCAAAGGGGCCGGAGGCGGTCAGAGGTGGGTGCTGCCCTGAGGGGGGCAAAGGGGCCGGAGGCGGTCAGAGGTGGGTGCTGCCCTGAGGGGGGCAAAGGGGCCGGAGGCGGTCAGAGGTGGGTGCTGCCCTGAGGGGGCAAAGGGGCCGGAGGCAGCCGAGGTCGAGCGCTGCCTTGATGCGGAGAAGGGGGCTGGGGCGGCCCGGGGTGTAGCGCTGCCCTGAGCGGGGAGGGGGCCGGGGCCGGCCGGCTGTGAGCGCTGCCGTCAGAATGGGCTGCGAGCATCGCTGGAGGCCGTGGGGCGGCGGGAGTATACCTTTATTCTGAGTTAGTTAAAATAACTCGATTAAAATAGCGCCTAACAGTACCGCTCAGGTGCGAAAGTGCGTTTCTGGTTGAGCGGGTTGCAGCGTCGCCTCCAAAACCGGTCTGCTTTTGTCTGCAGGTTCGTTTTAATTTGATTTCGCCTGTATAGTATAGCAAGACTTCTACGTTTATTTTGGGTATTAACGTTTGGAGAGCGGGTGCCAAAAGTCCATCTCAGCAGAGCCCGGTCCGTGGTTCCTCTGGGGCAGCCCGTGTTTGTCCCAGAGCTCCCGGTCAGGAGGAACCCAGGAGTTGCATTTTATTACTACAAACTTTTGTTACCCAGTCTACAGTGAGGTCTCCTCCAGAGACACCTCTCTGTGAACCCAGCGAGCTTCACACGCGAGTGGTGATGGCCACAGTGTGTTCCTCTCTTGAAGGAATTTTCATTGTTTAATCTGCAGTGTTTGTTCATTGGTGAGACCTGCAATGCAGAAAGTATTTTGCTTTTTGTTGTGCAAGCTGAAGCAATAAACAGTAGAGAATGAGCCTTCCAAAAATGGATGCTTAAATTGGCTTTAGAAATGACCCAAAAAATACTTTAATTTGTGAGCCTGCCTGAATTAATCTTTAAATCCATGCTTTTGCAGTTACCTGCTCTACAGCCACCTTCGGTCATACTCTGATGTGAACCCTTTACATGATGGTGGAACACCTTATCTCCAACATAATGAAGTTGCAGGTGCAGATTTAAGCAGAAGGGTCACAGGTGCCAACTTCCTGTTAAAAAAGTTCCAGTTTTGAGTCTGAGTTTTTCGTTATCTAACCAAAATCAGTATTTTGTTAGCAAACAATGCACGGTATTTTTTACAAGTGTAGAAACAATCCAGTAGAAAGTTTTAACTGCAGCACAAGTGCAATAAAAGAGACTTTGAAGCTTAACACAGGTATCTTGACTTTGTTCTTTTGTTATTGTGTATATGCTTGATTATTGATGAACATCATCAGTTTGAGTATGGCTTATAAATGCAGCTAACTCCTAATCATCCAAACCTGTGCAGGCTGAAATGCATTAGATAATTGGAAACAAACCCAGGATAATTGGAATACTAGGGAATTTGGCACAGATATGCACAGTGGGAGTTGGAGTTCCTTCAGCGATGTTTCTTGCCTCATCAGAGGTACTGTCTGATCTATATTCTCTTACTCCAAGTTGGGGAGGGGGAAGGGCTTGGTATACAACCATCTTGGGTCTGGAGAATTCATGAAATTTGAATTCATGTTAGGCAAGAGTTCAGGCAAAGTTTACAAGATTAACTTGATTACGGGTGGGAGGGAAAAAAGCCCACATAAGCTTTATGTTGGCTCAGTGGAGACCTTGGGCTAATAGTCCTGCCAGACTGGAACAAGCTCCAAATGGCATGTGTAGCTTACAACTGAAACAAATTCTTTGTGGGTGAACGAGTTGCCCGCTTACAAAAACAGAGTTCCTAGTGTACTGGTATGCAGTCTCAGCTGAATGTCTTGTAAGAGTTGTTTGATAAAAAAATTCACAGGAAAGGCCACAATGCTTATAAAGCACTCCCTAGAAAGTCAGAATCTCTGTTTCAGAGGTTTTGTTTCTGAATACTTGCTTATGTGACAATACTATGCAGAGGTATAAACATACCAGGCCACATTTTCAACAGTAATGAGGAAAATTGTACTGTTTCAGCTACTGTAAAATTGCCTGTTCTCACTATCACAAATCATGTGATTTTTTTTTTTCTTCCTACTGAACAACTTTAATTGAAGCAAATTCATGGGTGGAGGACATTATGGACATTATATTGAGTGGTAAGCACAGAACAGTTGAAGTGTTGCTTTAATAATACCACTGATTGTATTATGAATAAATTTAGTATCAGAGTGAAAACGAGGTATCATGCTCCTAGCATCTCCATGTGCTCAAATGTGCTGGCAGAATAGTAGGAGTAGCCCGGAGCCTTGTTCCTTCCTGCAAATACTCCGTAACACAGACGTGCATTAGTGTTAATCATATCCCTTTGCAAAAACTTCTGCTTCTAGGAAGTTCCATGGAGGGCAAAACTTGTAGAGGAGACTTGGCAGCTGCAGCTGAGGAAGAAAATACTGTGAGTTATTTCACTTTTTAATTGCTCCAAGTATTCTGAGCGTTTCTGGGTAGCAGAAATGGTCAGCATATCTGGCTCATTCTAGAACTCAGAAGTTTCAGTTCTTTTTGTTCTCATATTTTTGTGTATCAGAATATTTTTACCCTTTTTTCTAGTGAGAATATTTTTGGGTTTTTCTTCCACAGGACTCACATTCTAATTCAATTAATGGGAAGCCAAAGAAATTGGAGTGTTTCTCTAAGAACGCTTTTTCTGTTTCCTGTGATGAGAGTCTCTTGAGTTTGTTAGTACCACCCCCTAAAAGCGGGACTTGCCATCATTGTGGTCTGTATGGTAAGTGCCTGTTGTCCTGTAGTCAATGACATGCACTGTATTTGTCAGTGAAATCAGATCAGGTTTGCTCAGAAATTTCTTAAAATGGATGTATATTTTTGGCTCTCAAACACAAGTGGAGACTATTCAGAACATAGTTGGAGTAACAGAACTGATAAACAGAAGACAGCATCTCCTTATGAAAAGTGGTGGGGGTTTTGCCTTCTTAAATGTAGAAGTAATTTGGGACATTTTGGCAGTAATGTCTGACAGCTGTGTGTGAATACAAATACCTATTTGTAGGTGCTTAGAATAGTAGTGGAGCTGTTCTGTAAAGCAATTATCTTAACAGCTGTTGTCCCTTCCAGTATATGTTTCTCTCAGACTTCTCTTTTCTGTCTTTTTTTCTTCAGGAACTCTCAGATGTTCACAATGTATGCAAACATACTATTGCTCTGCAGATTGTCAGAGAAAAGACTGGCCAACACATAAGATTGTATGTGATCCCATTAAACAGAAGTAAGTTTGTTAAAAGTTCTGCCACATAATCTGCACAGAAAGACAATATCCCTCCCAAAACAGCATAAATGACCATTGGAAGGCACTGTTATGGTAAAATATGTTGCTTATTCTTAGGCTAGTACTGCATTATCTTATACCTGACAGAAAACTCAGCTCTGCTGCTTCAGAAGGGTTACTTGAAAGATATTTTTGGAGTTCTTAAGGCATGTTATAGTGTGAGTTAAAGCAAAAGCATTAATTTTACCAGGTGAGGATGCAGTAAGGATACCAGCTTGTCTCATGATTTTGTTAGTGCTGTTGTTGACATAGGGAAAGGAGAAACCAGATTTTGCTCTCAGCAGTGTCATAGTTAAGGGATTGCATTTAACAGGCTCTGAGGGGCACCCTTTGAATGGGGCTGTAGTGTCAGTGAAGTTCATGGAGATTTATCTTTGATGAGCACAGTTGCAATTAGAAGTTGTTTCAGCCAAATCATTTTCTGGTGCTCATTATTTTTTGACATGCTGGATTGGATGCTCAAGAGATCACCCACTAATCTGTTTCAATTAAAGTAAGCATCATTAGTTTATGACACAGTACAGATTGACTGGCTGGCTTTGGACCAGCTTAGGGGGTGATCTGAGCATTTTAAGTGACAATCTCTAGCAAGGAGTGGTGATTGCAGTTCAGTGAATCTGCAGCCAGGTATACCCAAGGGAGATTTTTTAATTGGACAAGTTTTGCTGCAGTGACTGAATGTGGGGGGGAACATGGGGACAGTCTGGGGTGTATGTTATCTGAGTATTACTTTTGTATTCTCCTGAAATAGCAACGTTTTTTTTCCCCAGTTTTATAGTTCTTAAGGTTGGCTTGGCATTAAGGTGTTAGCAGAACTCCACAACAGTGTAAGATTTCTCAATTTTAATCAAAATCAATTTATCAGGAAAAACACGCCAGATGTTGCTTAATAGGGAACTAACATATTTGTCATTCTGCATGTCATTCTTGGATAAGGAATAATGGTTGACAAAAAACACATATTATGAACACAGCCTTTTGTTTCTATTTGCAAGTAGACTATATTATTAATGCTACTTGTCAGTCTTTGGGTTCTTCAGAATTAACATTTTTTTCTTTGGTTACAGTACAAGTAACAACAAAACCAAGGAGGGAGTTTATCTTAAGGTATGGAATATAATTTTGACTATGTCTGGAGTGGATCTGCTCTGAGGGAGATTTAACCTGTGCAGGAAAGGAACAAGTTCCTCTTTTTAGAAAGATCAGTGCTTCAAGTGAAAAGTCACTGGGGGAAGCATTCAGAAACGTGTTACATCTAGAGCCCTTAGAGGCACTATCTGAGACAACTGTGGTTTTGTTTGAAAAAACATTTGTGAAAAAGTTAAAAATGCATGATGTTCCTAGAGGAATTATAGGAAGGAAACAGATGTAGTATGTCCACTTCAGAAAACTACTGGTGCCTTCTTTTCTGTGTAGATCATGAGGTGATGCTTGCAGCCTTGACAGTTTATTGGAGAAGTAAATTTAATGTAGTGCTGAACAGTAACAACTGCAGATAAGCTGTTGTTTGTTTGCTGTGGCAGGAATTAAAGATGACTTAAAGTTCTCCTTTGTAATGTTTTGAAGCCTCTCTTGATTTTACTTTGAGCCAAGCATTTCCTGCAGTGTTCCTATGAACTCTTCTGCATGAGTTGATTTTTCTGTCTTCGTGGTTTCTTGGGATGGTATTTGTGCAAGGGAATAAACGTGCATGCCTCCAACTGGCCTCATGTTTGCACTGTACAGAGCACTCCTTTGTCATGTACTCTTTGAAGCTACAGCTGAACAACTCCAGTTTAAACATAACTTGTACCTGTTTTAAATAGCTTCTGTGGATTCTCTCTTTAATTTCCTAATTCTTTAGAAGAGAGTTAAGAATTTAGTTGAACTGATAGCACTTCAAATTCCAACAGCAGCTTTTCCTTTTATATGCAAGGTGGTATTTCTGAAGGCCTCAATTATTTAGTTGCTTGGATAGGGGACAAACAGTCCTCTAGCCCTCTTGTTCTAATTGTAATTCTTTCCAGGCCACTGTTCAGTAACTGTTGTTGATATATTACAGGAGGAAGTGACGTTGAGTTTTGCTGTAGATGTTGTTCTTCCAGATTCTGGTAAGTACTTGGTTGTGTGTGGGGAAAAAACCCAATACAATTAAGGCTTTTATGTTCACACCCCTCCCTAACACCCTTAAAGATAGGTGTTTTCTTTTGTTCTCCTTTTGTCACTCCTCCAGCTTGTTTTGTTTTGTTCCATATAGAGGTATTTTTAAACTGTCAGTACTCAAAATACCTTGTTAGGCTTAATAACCTTAAATTTTGGTAAGGTTACTTTTCCAGTAGAATTGCAGTAAATTCAATGTGTTCTGGACTATCTTGTTCATTTTTTTCTTTGTTTTAATAGATGCATGAAAATTCGGTACCGTTTTGTTTTTTTATCTCATCCTTTTTTAACTCTTTAAAAATTAAAGTATCATTTTCTAGTTCCACCTAGGATTTTACCAGCTTTTTTGTATTTCATACATGCTCATTAAAGTATCCCAAAGAAAGTGCAATCACTGGATGTTGCTGTATCTAGTTGGAGAACTCTGTAAACGTGTTTGTATGTCTAACTTTGCAAGCCTCGGTGGATAGAGACAAGCCAAGCACCAGACCTCTGAGGAGTCAGAATTCAGATTTTCAGTTCAACTGGGTGGCTCTGGTTGTCAAACCAGATCAATACACACAAGGTGTACCTTTTGTCATTACTAGGAGGGCTGTATTGTTTAGGTTTTCTTCTGCCTGCAGAGCAAGAACAATATAGTGCTGAGAGCACATTCATTTCATTATCTGCAGCCCACAGAAACTCTGAAGGAGTCATGATTGATCCTCTTAGCTTGCTAAAATTCCTCATGTGCAGGAAGCTTATTCTCCATGTCATACTCTCTGCAGACTGTGAAAGGATGGTTCTGCTGAGTCCCATGTATATTCAACTGATTCAGGATTGTGCTGGGCATATTTCCATTTGGTTGCTTTACAGCACACTGATGGCAAAGCATTATATAACTTGCCAACCTTTTGGAGGGAACATCACATAAATATCACTGCATTCTCAAAATGTTCCACACATTTATCCCATGACTTTACAAGAAACCTAAACACCTGCATTCAGGTTTTCATTGGAAAATAATGATATTAAAAGCTTGGAATACTGTGTTCATGGATCAGAAATAAAGTATGTAATAGCTAAGAAACTCAAGATTTCTATATAAATCTTAGTAACTCATTACATACTCAGTGTTTTAAATATTGAGGTAAGTTATGTATCTTCGTGTCTGACAAGCTGTAATCAGTTTCTCAGGTAACAGTAGTGACTGCAAGTAGATGTTGATTGTTACTGCTTTGCTTATTTTATTTAGTCAAACAGTCTTGGAGCTGTGAATGTGATCAGAAAACTCAAGTAGCTGAGCTACTCTGACATTACTTTTATTTTGCATTTTAAACATATTAAGTGTTGAACAAATAAGTCAAACATGCTCACCTCGTGATAGGGATACAGGGGATAAAGGTCAGGCTCAGAGCAGGGCTCTGAAATAAAACTAACTGATGGCTGTCTTATATGGTAAATCACTTTTTCTTACATCTGTATTTTAGGTGACTGCCTAAATAAGGTTCCCTTAGAAATGAAGTCTCATTTAATTCCAGACAGTGATGCCAACGGAGAAGTTTCTCCAGGAGGTAAGCAAGCAAATCGAACAAAACTTGGGGAATTTTAGGTCCTCCCATGTTGCGTGATAGTCTAGCTGTTCAGCATCATCCCCTCATACTTAAAAATATTGGCTGGTGAAGCTTCCTTCAGGTCACTAGTGACAATAGCTCACACACTTCTTAAAAGTATAAAATATTTGTTTAGTGATTATTACATTTGCATCAATTTTTGTGAATTAGGAGACAGGAGCCTTCAAAGTCCAGAGTGTCAGCGAAAAGAATAAACTGTTTCAGCATGTTTATATTTTCAAAGTCATCTAGCTTTTGATCAGCAACTTTTTTTCTTTTCTATGTACAGTGTCAGAAAACCATTCAAAGGGAAGCGAAAAGAAAATACCTGAAGATGAAGACTCTCTCCACTGTGCTAATTCAATTCCAAAGTGTGTTTCTTTAAGCATCGGAGACCAGTTTTTTGGTGTGGTTTCCCACATACAAAATCCAGGCACCTTTTTCTGTCAGCAGCTGGACAGTGCCCGTAAGTGATGTGTTGGAAACAGGATGTAGGACGCCTGGTGTGGCATTTTTTTCTTTGTTAGAGAGTGGCCGGAGGGAGGTGTTGCTGGTGTTGTAGTTTGACCTGAAATAGCGATTCCCTGCAGCTTTAGGCTATGCTTCAGTCAGTTAAGAGCCATGGTGTTGCAGAGGATGGTTTTTGGCAGTGTTGGCTGTTAATATCACTTAGTAACCACTGTTCTGTTAATTTGTGGGCAGTCTGAGTAGTGCAAAGTACAAAGGTGATATGGCTTGGATTTTAGCAATCTGAAGTCAATTTGTATCACAGATATTTAGTGTTAAATGTGTTTACTCAGGTGTTCTAGAAATGCGTTCTGAGTTTGTAATTACTTTGTTTATTCCTATAATACCTTGTTACTCCCTTTAACATTGGAGGGAAGTGTTTCCTTAAAGACAGGGTGTGTGGACTGAACATCTTTGTTATGTAGTATGAGGAGAATACCTGAGTATGATATCTGAGGAAATATCTGAGTATGAGGAGGCCAGGTAATACTGCTTTGGTGCTTCCTGACAGAGTAAAACATAAGACTGTAGGTGACACTGTAGGGGCCAGAGCGTGAGGCTGCAGGGCCTTCAGGGGCATCTTCCACAATGCCCATAAACAGATGTCTGGGGGAGAACGAAGAGCAGAATAAGTTGGTGAGATGTGTCCCTCTCCCAGTGCTGACTGAGCCAGTGGGCTTTTTTCAGCTAAAATGGCTTTGGAGCTGGATGTGATCTGTATCTCCTGCAGTGGATTTTTCTTTTGTGTACATATGCAGCCTTTTAATTCTGGGCGTCCAATAGCATAGCGTGTCCTTCAGCAAGAAGTGACCTGCCCCATCATCTGCCTGTTGTTTGAAGAGCTGCCTTCCTTGTTTCTTTCTGGCTCACCTTCACTAACTTGCTTTCAATTTCCACTGGCTTCAGTTTTGTTCTTCTGTTCAAAAGGTCCATCACTGGTTTTCCCTATCCCTTCTCTTTACTGCTGATTCCTCAGACTCACCTGAGGGCCCTCTTTGATCTTACTGATTGAAGAGTTCTAGTCTCATCACTATTTTGCTGTTATGTTAAACTTTTTAAATAATCTCCATTAGACTACAAGATGTTCTTCCAGGCTTTGAGCTTACTGTTTGTGTGTTTTTGTAATAACTGCAAGACAGGCTATGTTCCAGAATTTATATATTTTAACATCAGGTCAACTTGCTGGACTTGAAGTATCTCTTAACGAATATTGTGGCAAATTTCCCAGTAATCCATCTTTCCATCCTGCTGCTGGAAATGTATGCTGTGCCCAGTTCACAGGTAAAAACAGAGTGAAAATATTAATTTATGTTACTTAAAAATTACATTCTGTAATTATGTTTAGAAATGTTTCACATAGAGTTTATTTTATTTCTGTCTGGTTTTCAGCTGTGGATAATGCTTGGTAATGATTGAAGAAATGATATTTATAAAATACTTACTTAAGAATGTCCCTTCATTGAGGAAACTCTTAACACTGGATTTAGATTATTTAAAATAGCTGTTTATGAAGTCAGGAAGGAATTTCCCCAGGGCTAGAAATAAATGTATACTTGAAATTTCAGACCTCACAAAAGGGACAGAAGAAGTGGGATTGTATGTAACGATGCTGCTCTAATAGGCTGTGTCTCAAAATGTTATTTAGCCAAGACCTGGTAGTCCTGAATTGTACTGAGACACATATTTTTATATTGGTCTGTCAAAAAAAAAATCATTCTGTTCTCAGAATTTACAAGTGAATACAACGAACATCTGTATCTTGCTTTCCAGAAGACAATCTTTGGTATCGTGCTACTGTCACAGCTTATGCTTCTGAAGATAGTGTTTTGGTGGACTATGTGGATTATGGTAATTCTGACTGTGTTCCACTGACAAAACTTCGTCCTGTGATTCCAGCGTTAATGAACTTGCCAGCTCAAGCCATAAGGTGTTCCTTGGCAGGTATGAAAAAAATTACAAGGTGTTTCAAACTGCATAGAGGCAAAACAAGTGGGATTACGTAGTCATCACACCTGTAGTACCTTACATGGAAATGTGGGGAAGGATGGAGGTGACGGTAGGCATTATTTCCAGAATTCTTAACTGTGGTGGCACATCTACAAAATGTGACAAATCTCTATAATGTACCTGGTGACTTGCAGTTGTGTGTCAGGAAAACTGTTATATGAGCATGGCTGTTAGATTTTGCATATGCTTTTGTTCTAAGCACAATCAGTAATTTACCGGATTTGTGGAATTCTTAAATCTGTTGTGGTTCTAATACTGCAGGGGAAGGTAGATTTCATTTTATATCTCAACATTCAGAGCTGTACGGGTCCCCCTCCCCTATGGCAAATCTAGTGAAAGTACTGGTAGGTTCCTAACCACAGACTTGTGGAATCTGTGAAGTTGGAAAGGGCACTGACAGTTCCTAGTTCACCTTTCTGTCTCAAGCCAGGATCATAGTCTGTGTTTTTGACACACTTGTTTAACTTGCCGTTGGAAATTGCTTGCTTTCTTTGTTCCCATCACTATGCAAGACAGCCCACCCCTTCTCTTCAGTAGCCTTCCTTTAGAATACTTGATGTGTATCCTTTTTACAATACTTGGTATTCAATATGCTTGTCAGAGGTGAGGTTCAGCACAGCATTCTACCTTCCTAATTTGGAAGAAAACATGAAACAATGCTTTGTTTGTATGCGGAGACAGAACCAAGGCATGTGGAATGTGACCTAAAGAAACCACTTTTCCACAGCAAATTATGGTATCTGTAGCTGAAAATGAGTGTTCTAACACTAAGAAAGGCCTGAAACACAATGTGGACACACAGAAAAGTGATCAGACAAGGTGTTTCCTGTTTAGAGTCAAGGATTACTGCTGAATGAAATATATCTTTCTGGAAGGCAACTCCTTCCAATCTATTACTATAAAAGTTGTGGTTATAACTTGCATTTTAGAAATAAATTTAATAGCATAAAGGGTAAACATTCAAGAGGAACAAGCTTATAGTAGCAGACACGTTGCCTGAGAGATGGTTGTTGTCCAGAACTATAGGTTGCATTCATGAGATCCAGAGACTGACACTTAGACATTCATACTAAGGAAACACTGAATCTGAATTTATGCTTGTGTTTGTGTAATTAGCTAGTTGTACATGATCTTTGTCAGATTTTTATTAAACCAAATTAATTGAAAGTTCAGAATCTAAATAACTGGAATCTTGTTACGAGCATGAGGAGTAAGGGTGAGTTACCTGGTGTATCTGCTGCTTTACACAGCCGTGTTGTGCCTTTCCACACATTGGTGAGACTTGGACTGACCTCAGAACCTTTCCATACTGCCTCACTTTTTAGGTGTAAGGCCACCACTGGGAACATGGACCTCAGAAGGTACCTCTTTTATGAAAAAAATGGTGAAAGACAAAGTGTTCACAGTAAAAGTAGTGGATAAAGAGGGTTCTACTTATGTGGTGGAGCTTGTGAACGCATCAGTTACTCCGGCGATAAATATATCGAGGCTTCTCATAGAGGAAGGCTGTGCAGCTGAGGACTCAAGGGTGGCCTTACCAGCAGTCACAATGAGTGATGTTAAGCAAGAAAATGGTGAGTATGAGCATGTCCTGCTGAGCTGGCATTATGTAATCTCCCACTGGAGTGGGTACAGAGAATGCAATCTCTTTGCTCATCAGAGCTTTCTAGTCTGGCTGATGAAGTGTAGCCTTCACAGCTCCGAAGTTTAGCCATGGCAAGTTTGCAAAAGTTATACTGGATTTCTTTGAAATCTGGGGGAAGATTCCTAGCTTCTCTCATATGAAGCATGTTTAATCCTTCTTTTCCATCATGTGTCTGGTAAATGTATAGGTTCCCTCCTGCTCCATTGGTACTGAAAACTTGGAGGGAAGTCTTTTTGTCAAGTCTGTGTTAAAATCCCTTCATTTTGGTCTTCCTCACTAGATACTTTGTGGCCACGACACAATTCTTGTTCAGAAGGCTTTGTTCAGAAGGGTAAGGAATGTTACATAAATACATTAAGCAACTGGCATGTTCCTCTTACTTGATTATACTCTCCAAAAAAAGCTCTCACTATAAATAGTTTGTCAGACTATTTATAATAAGACCTTCAAGGATATGAATGAACATTCAAGATGTATAATTTTTTTTCCTGTAAAAATATCTTTTCATCCTCTCCTTTTCTCTTGTCTTCTCTAGAGGACACAATGAACAAAAGAACATGCAAATGGCTTAAATTAACTCTTAAGCAAACAGTCAGTGTCAGAGTGTGTACAGTGTACAGTCCTGGAGAATTCTACTGTCACATTTCAAATACCCATGGTAAGTTTACTCACCTTTTTTCTTCTAGTTTCTTTGCCTCCTGATTTGTCATTTATTACAGTTGTAATGAATTACTGTTTCAAGTGAGCTTGTTTTTTATCTAAGAATAAAAGTGGAGTTACAAAGAAATTGGATCATGGTATGTAGTGACTCCAGATTGAAATCTGAAAGGGGTGAAGGTAAGCAGTTGAATAAAACTTAATCTAAGAATGTAGAGGAGAGTGGAAAGAGCTACCATAACTAGCCAAAGGATATCTAAAATTTTTTTTTCACAGGAAGAGTGGTCAGGCATTGGAATAAGTTGCCCAAGAGGTGGTGGAGTCATTGTCTCTGGAAATGTTCAAGAGGCGTCTGAATGTGGCGCTTGGGGATGTGGTGTAGGGGTGATTATGGCAGTGCTGTGTTGATAGTTGGACTCAGATAATCTTGAAGCTCTCTTCCAGCCCTGATGATTCTGTGATTCTGTAAATAAGAGACGTTTTCCCTGTGCCCAAACAATATTTACCAGAGATGTTCTCTAGCACTCTCTTCTAATTTAAAAAAAAAAAAAAAAGTCTTGGCTCTCTATCAGGAGTCTCTATAAAGGCTTTTTAACCTGCTAGAAAAAGAACATGACAAAAGTCAGTGCTGAAGTGGAAGCTAAAGGCATCCAAACAAAAAACATGGGGCAGATCTTGAAAAGTGACAGATGTTTATTTTTTGACTTATCTAGGGATAGTATAAATTTCTCATGGCTTATAGATGTCAAATGACCAAAATCCTCCCTAAAAGTGATGTGTATAGAGCAGGCTGAAGGTCTCAGTATAAAAAAATGAATGTTTAGGGTAAGATCCCATAACTTGTCATATGCACTGGCCAAACAAGGTAGTTTCCATGGTGTTATATGACTGTAAAATATACTTTAGATTTTACAGGAAAGTGTGGGGATTTTTTGGTTAACAGGAAGAATTACTGGTCATTATATGTCAGGAAATATCAGCTGCCTGACGGTTTCCTGCTAATAAGCCTGTGTAGTGAGTTAAATAGTTAATTTGGTGTCAACAGTGTTGTCATTTCTTCTTTTTATGAAATTTTAAAATTCACAGAAGTCTCCCCTGAAATGTTTTACAAGTAAGCTATAGAGTGGACAGTATTGATAAAGTTCAAGTCAGCTTATTTAGTTGATCTCATCTTTTTTTTTCTTTCTGATTTTCAGAATTACTTGCTCTAAACTCACTTAACAAATCCATGTCTGAATACTGTCAGAAAACTCCACCAGATGTTTTCGAGCCTGAGATTGGAGAACCTTGCTGTGCTTTTTTCTCTGGCAAGTAACAGACTGAAATATATTTGGTTTTACAGGGTGAACATAAAGAAAAAAAAATTAGCTGATAGTTTGCACTGTACAGAGGATAGCAAAGAACTGGATTTACTTACTGCAAAATGAAAGCTGGCAGACTTAGCAAATGTGCAAAGTAATTATTAATTTATTTTTTTAAAAAACTTCTTTTAAAATTAGAAGATGGTAACTGGTACCGTGCTGTGGTGCAAAACATCACTAAAGGTGGAAGCGTTCAAGTGAGCTTTGTGGACTATGGAAATGTTGAGGAAGTACCACTGGATAAAATACGGAAGATCTCACCATCATTCCTAAAACTTCCATTTCAAGCAATTAAATGCTGGCTCTCAGGTGTGTCTTAGGGATTCTTTCTCTTACAAGTGCTCTTGCATTTAGAGACTTGCTGCTGTGGGGGAAGCAAATACTGTGCAGAATTTTGTTCTTTTGGGGTTTGTTCTCTCTTCCCTGAGCTCCTGCCAGTGCTGTGGAGTGATCTGCATGGACTTCATTTACTGATTTGCTGGTCAAAGGGAACTTGTTTAGTTCTGCTTTGTCTGTAGTGCTTACTGGCTTTTGGTTGCTGCCTTGGAACACAAGTCAATGTGCTTTTGTGCAGCTTTATTTCTCGAAATTTTTGCAGACAAAGGAGCTAATCTGTTTTAATGAAGCAAGTTGGCCTTTCAGTTCTCTGAAATGGGATGTTTCATTTGATTCCTGTAGAATTTGGTACCATATTTCTGTTTCTCAATCTTACGCAAATTCCCTTTCCACAGCAAATCACTCAAAATTCCGCAGAGTTGTCCTTTCTTTCTAATGTGGGCTACATGGTTTAAAAATGAAAAATGTGGAAACAGGAAAAAGCTCAAACTCACATTTCATTAAAGTGTCTTTTGAAAAGGTTTTTCTAAAGGAAATTATAATGTTGAACAAAGTCAGCCTTACTAAATGGAGATATTTTAACAGTTATTTTACTTCCTAGGTATAAAGCCTTGTAATAACAAATGGAATCAAGAAGCTACAATAAGATTTCATATGTGCACTTCTGGGCTAGAGCTTCAAGCCACAGTAACTTCCCTGTCCAAAGATGGGGCAGGTGTAGTGCTTACAGACAATTCCACACATTGTCCAAAAGTGATCAATGACATACTAACTTCTGAAAATTTGGCTGTAAAGGAAGTTCTACAAGATAAAAATAACTTTCCAAACAAGTCTGTTGAACAAAAAGGTAATTAAAGGAATGTTAACTTTTAGATTTTCAGTATTCAAGGTTTTGACTGTGATCTTGTTGTTTCACTGTAGTTGATATCAATAGCAGACATGCACAGTTTGCGTTGTATTGTCAGTTTTTACAGTTGAACACAAGCTGCCCTGCAGGTGGCATTACAGACAAAAAGAGAAAAGATAAAAATTTGTGTTTATCTTAAATGAATGCTGTTTGACTCTTTGAGAGAAATTTTCTATGACTGATACTTTTCTCATGTTTATTTTCCAATATCTTTTCTGAGTTTGTTTGGTTTTTTTTAACTTTAGCTATTTTTATATGCCAGTAGTTTATGAACAGCAAATTAAGCATCAGTTATCTTGGTTTAGATTTGTCTTCCTGAAGGGAAGACATGTAGTTGTCTTTGAAATTCAAAAAGATGTTATAAATATCAAATAAAGTTAACAGTTACTTATAATATGTATATGCATGGAGGACAGTGGTAACGCTTCATTTTCTTACAATTTCTATTAGTAACCTCACTTGGGCACTGGAAGTCATTTAAATTGGCTGTAGGTGAAACCATAACTGTCTTTGTAACAGAAATTGTAAGCCCAGACTTGTTCTACGCTGTACCAGTTCTAAATGAAGGTAAGAAAAAGTGTTCCCTGTTCCTAATACCAGTAAGAAGACACTGTTGAAACCTAGTTAATAAAATGAATGCCTGTAGTGAGCTGGACCATGTGGAAATTTACCTCTGAGAATAGGAAAATATAAAATATGCCAAAGGTGGGAGCAGGGGAGCATAAAACTGAAGTATGCTCTTCATTGTACCCAAATATAGTTAACTACCAAATGTTTTTTCTCTGTAGTTCAAAGGAGGGAGTATAAGGAGCTGACTGCACTAGGAGCCTATTGCAAATCTTGTAAGAAAGAGCCCTTCCGACCAAAACTGGGTGAAGCTTGTTGTGCCCAGTTTTCAGGTGAGACGATTGTTTGTTTGTATTTCCTTGACCAGGGTAAAACACAGCTTTCATTTTTGCTTTAGAGGGAGGAAAAACACTGATTTGAAAGTGCTTACAGATCTCTTAATGCTGTTACAAAGGATCGTCTGGCTGCATCTTTAGGGCAAAGAAACTGCCTGACAGTCAGGGAGAGAAAATGAGGAATAGGTTGTGCCCAGCAAAATGTATGGAGCTTTAAGTGGGAAGAAAGCTACTTACTATTTAGATTGGCATGAAAGTCATGGCAGAGGCAATTGCAGACCCACTTCTGGTTTGTGGGTGCCTGAGTGGTTTTTCATTGTTGCTTTGTGTGAGCGTGGGGCAATGACGCTGGTTATGATCAGCCTTGTTAGCCTTATAAGTTGTCCAGGCTTAGTGACCTCTTAAGTCAGAAATATTCTTACCAGTGAGAGAATTTTGATTTATTATTTAGAATAATAAATCCTCCTTTCAGAAGAGGGGATACTCTCCTGGTACCTTAGCTCACTGTTTAAAAAAAACAAACAACTGGTGTTGATTCAAGTAAATGTTGATTGCATGTGGCTTGTTACAGGCAATCTGGCAAGTGCTGAAAATTAACTTGGGTGCTAGATCAGGTAACAGCTCATGGAAAACAAGATAGATGAATTTTAAAAAAATGCAAGAATACAGGAGTACAAAGTATACCTAAGTGTTTGACAGCTGTCTTTAACTTCTGATGATGAGTTGTTGATGTTACTGCTTGTTGCCCTTCAATATAAGTGAGGAAAAAAGATTTTTTTAAGTTTTTTATTTTAGTTATGTTTTGAGAGGGAGTATGTGTTGGAGAACAAAGGTAAGGAGTTAGAAACAGAGTCTGCAGACATCCTTAAAAGAGTATTGTAGTAAAAATCGTACCTGTACAAGTTGAGCAAAATTCTCAAAGCAACATCTTTATGAATACAGCAGTGAGAAATTATTCCCTTGTTTTATGAGCCTGCTTCTTGTCAAGTGGCCTTTTATATATGCCAGAGGGTTTAAAAATTCCTGTAAAACTCTATAGATTCTTGTTCTTGGAAGAAATTGTGTTTTTAAGATATTTCACATGTGACTATTCTTGTCCCAATCTTTTCAGGTAATGGCCGGTGGTACAGAGCTCTTGTTCTAGAAGCTTCCCAGTCTGCAGTGAAAGTGCTGTATGCAGACTATGGGAACACAGAAACTTTACCACTTTCAAAGGTGCTGCCAATCACTGATTCCTTTTTAAAGCTGCCTTTTCAGACAATTACATGTTCACTTGCAGGTAAAAAAGGTCCCAAAAATAAGCAAAACAAAAACACCCCAAAAAACCCTGACTTGTTTTCTTGAACATTAGAAATCTGTACCTGTTCTGGTGGTAGAGGTCATTCCTTAATACTGGTAAACGACATCACAATCCACTGAAATAGTAAAGTGGTTAACACTGCAAAAGCTGTTTTAGAAAGCATGCTTTTTGTTCATTATCTGTAGAATTTAAGCTATTTAGACTTGGAAAATTTAGCATCATATTTTCAAAAACATGCATGTAAGATTCAAGTCCTATCATAAAGGAATTACTTATATGACAAAATGGATTGTCTTTTTCTTTTTTTTTTTTTCCGCTTTTTTTGCAGGAATAGAGAAAGTTGAGTGGTCTCCACTAATGCTTAACAAGTTGAAAGAAATGGTACTGAAGCAATACGTCGCAATTACAGTGAAAGGGATTAACGGAGATGTCAAGTTGGTAACGGTAGAGAAACGCTGTGAAAATGGTGGTCTGAATGTAGCTGACAAACTTGTAAATCAAGGTTTGGTCAAATCCTGCAGTGCTGAATACTCACACAGTGAACGGCAAGGTACATTCTCTCGCTTAACTACTTCCATTTACTTATTTTGAAGATCTTGTAAATACATCGGGTGTCTGAGTGACTTCCTTCTAAAAATCTTGAATTCCACTTGTCACCTCTTAATTTGGGAAGCAGTGTCCACGTGTATTTTACTCATTCACTTTGCTTGGTTTTTTTGTAGGTAGTAGAGGTGAGACCAAATGCTGCTGCACAGAACTGAAAGAGCAAGTAAGATCCGATCCAAGCAATACTTTCTTATGTTTCCAGACTTTAAAAGAAACCCTGTGTGGGGAAGCAAATGGGAGTAGGGAGACAACAGCTAACTGGAACACTTCCAGTGTATCCCAACACTTTTTCTCAGTTTTCTATAGGTGGTAATAATTAAAGCACCCTGAGGCTAAGGGAGGATAGTGTACAGATCACACAGACATCATTAGTCTGCACTTAGCTCCCCATAGAGCTCTTACTTTACTTTTCTAGAGTGTGAAATCTCAGGAGTGTTACTTTGTTGTCTAAAGGTAGTTGTGTTTTGCATCAACAGTGTCATTTGGACAAAGGCTGGATTTTTTTCAGTAACATGGCTGTGCTTTGCTGTGTACCCAACTTGGCAGACAGTTGCATATGTAAGAAAATTCTTACACTGTGTATTTCAGATAGAGATTAATATGTGCCACAGTTTCAGTCATGGAGCTAGGCTGAGAATCTGAGTGCAGCAGAGGACTGGAATTTGTAACAGGATTTGCCAGTTGCAAGATTATTTTTTTCTCCTTTTAGAAAAAATTGAAATGTCTTACAGATATGGCATATTCCCATAATTTTGGAAGGCTTTCTGGTTTTAAGCTTTCTCCTTCGCTATTTTAATTTAGGCTATTTATTAGAAGTTTAGAACTTGATCTGAAGTGTAAAAAAAGTACACCAGAAAAGATGCATCAGCCTTTGTCGAAGTGATGTTCTTTGTCAGAGGAATAAGCAAACTTAATTTTAAAGACAGAAACTCCTTTCAAGGGTGTTTCAAACTCTCCTGTCTTCCCCCCAGCCACAGGCAGCAAGGTGAAAAGCAAAAATGGTATTTTGGAGGTGGGAAAAGAACATTTCTGTTCAAGCTCATTAAGACCCTCACCGCTTCAGAGCAAGGTCGTCACTGGGAGTTGAGTGGCAGAAAGGCAGTAATGGTCCTCGGTGTGGCTGATTTCTCTGTCCCACTGCAGGCTGTTGAGACTCCTTTTCTATTCCCCCTCTGTGTCTCCTTGATCTTCCAGTTTGATCTAGATAATACGTTTTCTGACTTCAGTTTGATCATTTTCTGTTGCCCTTCCTTCCTGGTTTGGCTCAAAGTCTCATGAGAGGTGAAGAGAAGACAGATGATCACAATATAACTGAAAACATAAGAAAATAGACATGTGTGAATAACCAGATTTAAGATCGTGATCTCAGTCCTGATTTGAGTATTTAATCAATTAGGTTTGAGGAAGCTGCTTCAGCACAAAAAAAAAAAAAAAAAGTGGGGTAAGGAACACATGGTCAGGGAAGTCAGCTAAAATTCTGCTGGATTTTTCCCCTTCCAGAAGACTTTACAACAGAAAGGAACCAATATGGGTCTGTGCTGAGTTAGTAGTGTTAGGATCTACTATGATCTGAAAACAGCAATTAAAAAAAATTGTTTATCTGTAATTCTTTCTGCTTATTCCACAGCTTAAAAAGCATGAACAGATCCTGCTCTTCCTTTTAAACAAGTACGGGAATCCAGATGGATTCACAGAAATGAAAAATCTGTTGAAGTCTTAAGTCTCTGACAGGAACCAATTCATTTATATGTAACCAGTTCTTTTTTTGGAAGAGCAAGAGTATCCTCCAGCTTAAAAAAATGAGAGCCACTTCGTAGAGATTCTGTTAAGTACCTGTACTTATCTGTATGCTTGGGTTGTTATTGTGACATAAGTATGTAACTTGAAGAATTGCAAAGTGGCAAGCTAAAAATTCCGTTCTATTTTTGTTTTATTCCACCATGTCCTGCTAAAGTTCTAGCTTTTATTTTCTTGTTGAATGCACAGAAGTTTTTGAAATGGCCACTATACTGTAAGTCTATTTTGTAAACTTGCATTGGAAATTACTGTAATCATAAAGCTTACATAATTTTTGTACCATTAATGTTACTTGTATCTAGCCTTGATTACTCTTCTTTCAGTCTTATTTCTGGTCTCAAGTTAGACAGAGAATTGTTCTTTATAAACTTGGTTTCAGTATCATTAAAGGTTGAATGTTGTCTTGGACTGCATACAGGTAGTTAGAAACAGTAAACACTTTAACGTGCACTGTTATTTATTTACACTTATGCTATATATTATTTATCTGTGAATATTGTTTTGAAGTGAATTGTATTAGAGTTGTTTTGTGTGTAGCTACATCATCAGGATTTCTACCCTATCAAGTTTTCACATCATAACTGAAAAGCCCCATTCTGGGAGATGACAAAAAATACTGAGTCAGATTATTAACAGATGTTCAGTATTTCTGTAGTTGAGTACCTGGTTGTCCTTTCTGACTAATCTAGGAATGTCACATTACTGTTCATGGAACTAATAAACATTTGCTCATGAAACTGCAGTCAGCCTTTGAAGTGTGTATTTTAAGCTTGGGCTTTGTGCAAATTGGACGAATCTTGAGATTAAGCTGCTTGTGCAAGTGAAATATCTTCTGTTTGAGTTAATGTTTTATTACCCTTAAACAGCCTCAGATTTTTTTTCCCTGCCTCTTAGTTTTTGTTGCATCGTATTGTTCGGAGCCAAAATTGTGGCTGTGTCAAGTGTTCTTTGACTCCCTGGGACAAACTTGCACAAGCATGCAAAGCAACTCTATGCTTTGCCCACGTGCAAAGCAACTCCATGAGGCTTTAGTCCTCTCATCCCTCTTTTTCGCTGGCCCACATGCTCCCTCTCTTAGCAAACCATTAACAGTCACTGCATTTCAGAAGAGGAGTTCCACTGCAATAGTCAAAAGCAGTCACTTTGTATTCTATAAGGAGGAGAGAGGAAAAGTAAACCTGCTTGTCCTACTCGGGTTAGAAAACAAACCTGAGGTGCAAACTCTTCTTTGACTAAAAGTGCTCAGTCTTGTGCAGTCACCAGTGCTGGCACGTGTCAGGTGCTGGTTTAGGCAGTGCAGTGCTGGCTGGAGGCTTGAGCTCCTGAGGACTTGCTTTCAAACTCTACAAGTCAGTGACATCATCTCCCCTCCTAAAGATATCTTTGCTTTTTCTGAAGGTACTATTTTATTTACAAGAGCTTTGCTTACTCTGTGTGCATCAAAGTGGTCATCTGCTCCTGCCTGCAGCACAGCCAACCCTTGGGATTGGTCACGGAGGACTCAGTGGGATTCAGCACCTGCCCAGCCTATGCCAGACCCTGTTTGGTATCTCCAGCCAGGCTTCTGTAACCTGAGAAATGCATTACCCACTAAAAAGAAATTCCAGTTAACAGCTAGGGTTTGATTTAGATCAAGTAATCTCTTAAATTGAGCTAGTCAGGAAGGGCTGAAAGTACAAAAACAGTGGTCCCCTTAATGTTTTAGAGTTGCTAGAGTTGTTTTATCAGCTGTGGTGTGGTAACCCTGTCACGTAAGGCAGAAATGTTTTGTCCAAAGCTGGACCATCCTGTATTTTAAATTAATTGCTTCGGTGATGCTTTCTTCCTTGGCTTTTATTGTGGGATCTACCCCAGCTATGTATCCTTAAACTCCGAGTCAGAGCTGTGCAGGCCAGGGAACAGCTGGGCAGGGCCCGGGTGCTGCACACCCAGCTTGGCTTGTATCCTGTTCTTGTTGGGGAATTCTTGCATTGCTCTGCTTTCAGGGGTAGGGACTCGTTACAGCATGAGTGTGAGCGGCACCACGTGTCCTGGCAGAGAACAGAAGTGAAAAGCAGGATAAGGAAAGCTGATCTAGGAACAGCTTCTGTTTGTGGAATAATCTTATTATGTAAATTCCACTTTATTCCTAAAAAATGTAGCTATTTGTAACTCCAAAGCATATGAAGTTATCGCTTTTCAAAAAATACTGACTTATAGAGGGTTTTTTTCCTGCTCCTGCAGTTGCACAGCTTCAGTTACAGAACAAAACATCCCCCAATTACACAAAAAAACACCAAAAAAACCCACAAAAGAGCCAAACAAAACAAAATCAACCCCCAGCAACAACACATTTTTGAAACAGCCCCCCTACGTCATTCCTCCAGGTGTAGTAGGTGTGAACATGGCACTTTTACTCACCGGTACAGCATTTTCTGTGGAACCACAAGCATTAGGAAGAACATTCCCAAAGTAAAAGAAGTTGAATCCTTCATGAAGCTACTTTACAGCTGTTAGGGGGGCAGAGTAACCCGGAGCTGTTGGTGTACTGGTGCTGCTGCCAGGCCTGCTGGAGCGCTGACATTTTCACTTGCGCAAAGTCCGTGCAAATGAGCGCACACCCCAGTGTTGCTCTTAAATGTAACCTACGGCAAGGTGGGTGTTCCTGGTGCTGCTTCCCCCGCCCCAATTCGAGGTTGTAGGTGGCAGGATGTGATGGATGGGGAGGAGAGGCCGTCACAGCTGAGCACGGTATAAATTCAAGAGGGGAGGAGGCTCTTGGTAAGTTCCGCAGGTGTACTGGAGCTGTGTGGCGTCTGCAGAGAAAAGGTAAAGCGCAACTCGGAGAGGCTTTTTTTTCCTTTATATATATGCATGTTATTATTTTCCTTTTTTATTTGATAACATCTTAAACCCTTAGCTTGGAGGGTAGGGCCCGCGTGGGGAGGCGGAGGTGCCGGGGGTTCGCTCTCCCAGCGGGGCCGGGGGGTTGCAGTCCCTGCCGGGCGGGGGGCGAGGGCAGCCCGCGGCGGCGGTCGAGCTGGACCAGGAGGTGATGGAGCCCGGCTGAGTCTTCCCGAAGAGGGCTTGGGCTGGTCCCCAGCGGGCCGGGCCGGTCCCAGCAGCGAAACCTCTCGGAGGGGTGCGCGGGCAGCGGGATGCGACCGGAGCGTCAGAGCCCCTGAGCCGGCCGGGGTCAGGGAGGTGGTGGTGGCAGCAGGAGCACCCAAAGGAGCCGGTTGCACAGCCGGGGTCCCGCTCCGGGTCGGGAGGAGCCCAGGCACCCGTGAGCCCCGGCCGGTGTGTGCCTGTGGTCCCGCCGAGGGCTGTTCCCCTGCGCTCAATCGCGGGGATTTGGGCAGGCTCCGCTGCAACGCGGGGTGAATCTGTGCTCTGTAAAGAATAAATAGTGCTATGTTACCTTATTAAAATAACAGAACCCCCCATTACCCAGAAAACCAGACCCAGCGCATGCTCTAGGGGTTGAATTGATTTTTTTTCTAGCTGTTCTAAGGGTGCGGCCGGGGGAAAGTGCTAAACCTGCCAGGGCAGGCTTTGCAACAGGTTGTGTCTCATGTCCTTAACAAAAATCCTTCTGCAGAAGACGCAAAAACAACTTGATCAAATCTTGATAATCAAGGAAGGACTAAAGGACCTGGAACGATATGTGTAATATATTTGGACACTTGTACTTAGTAAAGAAACAAGAATAGCTGTTGTCTTTGAGTACAGCAACAGCAGCATTTCCTGATGCAGTGCAATGGGTAGAGGAGGACTCAGGCTGGTTCCTAGTTGTGATACAAATTCATGCACCTGTGAGCACGACACTTTGTCTCTCCTTACCTTGGTTTCTGTGTAAGTTAAAGAGGGATGAAGATGCCTTCCCCAGTGGCCTGGACTGGAAAGGAAATGGAGATGGCTGGACCCTGCTTCCCAAGTTATCTGGGAAAGTGTGAAAAGATATTAAAATGTGACCTGGTAATTTTGAGAATTATTTCATGGGGACTTGTGCTAATTTGACTTCCACTTTTTTTTATTTTTATTTTTTGTTTATTTTGCATAGTAAAGATGAGGCATTACTGTGAGACAAGTCACACATGCAACCACATTTTCTCACTTCGTTCAGAGAGGGCTGTGCTGAACAGGCAGTGTGTGTGCTGAGCTATTCATCATCTTCTGTGTGCTGGGCTATTGACCACATCATCTTCAGTGTGTGTTCCTAAAGATGTCTACATCTTCCAGGATGAAATTACTTAAAAAGTAGGTCTCTTTTGACCCTACTGCAGTTTCAGAAACAAACAAAAAACCATGTGAAAGACTCCCACTTTCTAGAGTAGGGCCCATAGGAAGAGCCCACAGGCTGCTGTTCTGAAAATGCATGCAGGTAACAGCTTGTACATGTTTGTGGGAGTGATGCCATGGAGCTAATTCTCAGGCTTGTGGTTTGTCCTTGGGGCTCACAGAGGTGCAGCAGGATGATAAGGTGTGCATCAGGATTAGTTTTGTAAAAGGGGCCAGGTGAGATAATCTCAGCATGTCTCATATTCTGAGAGCTGAATTGAATACCAGAGATGTCAAAAAAGGATGTTTCCTCTCTCTCCCTTCAGCCTCTGCTTTAGGTAATCACTGCAGCTGACAGGCTTGGAAAAGTACAATTCCTCATTTTTGACAATATCAAGTGTTTTGGGAAGGACAGACCAGAATTCCGTTTCCTCAAGAGGGAGACTCATCACAGCAATCTCCAAGTTCTTACTCCTGCTTGGGGTATTATGAGGTTTGTCCTTCCAAGCTGGTGCCTGTGGTTTGAGGCCTGACTTCTTCATCAGCCAGCTTGATGCTCTTTAGCCAGCAGTTTGATTCTGCTGCAGACAGCAACCTCCCCTTCAGCAGCGTGGGAACACAGGCAGGGGAGGCCCTTGGGACAGCAGTACTGCCAAGTGAAAT